CTCACCACCCCCCCCCCCGGCAATCCGGGTACTCAATTTACCAACCTCGGAAGGATGGAAGGATGAGTCAACCTTGAGCTGGTTACCTAAGAGTACATTTCTGAGTACTCTCAGAAATGCAGACCATTTTCTTCTTCTTGGAAGCGTCTTGGGGCTCAGCAGCATGCCCCAAGAAATACAGGCTGGCACTTCTCCTTAGACACACAGTGGAAAACTGAACTCACAGCCTCCAAGATTATATTATTTCAGAATTTAAACAGAGGAAATGTATATTTGAATGGTACCCTCAGGACCAAAAGAGAGAGTGCTGCTTTCTCCATGATATGCATATTGTCTAAAGACTCATCTGCTTAAGAAAATAAGTTGACTGCTTGCTATCTCAGCATTTACCACAGTATTCAAATTATAAAAGGAGCATAAGGCGGGATGGCACATTATCCTGAAATGTCACCACTTTGATTATAAAGCTCAACTTACATCTACACTTGTGAGCTATTAAGGCACAGAACAAGAACAGGGTCTTTGTGTGTGCAATAGTAAACTTTTGTGCACACACCCAGTATCTTGAGGTGGAGACAGCATTGTGTACTCTCACAAAAGTTACAGCTGTGTTTCAGTAAACTAGTCACATGCATATAAGGACAAATGGGATCTCCAAAGCCAGATTCACACACACTAGTTAAACTATTAAAGATACACCAGCAGATTTCAAAACATACAAGGGACCTGTTTGAGTCTGTAGCAATAAGAGGAAGTCCTCATTAAACAGCAATAACATGTAGAAGATTCATAACAGCATTAGATCGGATTCACTTTGCATGACTGTGCAAATAACCTAGAGCAGAGTAAGCTGATGCTGCAGCTTTTCATGGGAAGGGAGAACATAATGCTTTAATGCTCTAAATCCTGTATCAAATATCAATGTTGGAAGACAATGAACTTATTTGTACTTTTCCTGTATCCCAACCAAACAAAAGCTGAATTTACCATTTCTATCAAACAGTAGTTTCTTGTGTGAAACAGGAAAACATACCCTGCTTGGAAATTAAACTCATTAGGTTCTTCTTCCACGCCACTACTGTCACTCTGTACTTCAGGCTCTGGTTCCTCTTTTCCCGGAAGAGTCTCCCAGCTCTCATCGCTGGAGGACTGATCTTTCACGGTCACATCAAAATAGGAGGGAAGATATGCAGACCATTCTCCATCACTGCATTCAGAGCTGTAATTTGAGAGATATTATATTTACAATGTTGATGTATTTTTAACCTAAGTTAACAAGTTAGCTATGATTCGGCCAAATTATATACATTTCCGTTTTCACAACTGTAACAGAAAAGATTTAAGCATGTGCTTAACCTTTCAACTATACCTAATGGTATGTGAACATGCTTACAACTGGATGAATTTTGTAGAAAGTGCCAACTGCTTCTCTTTGCGTAACAGCAGAAAATAATTCCTCACTATGTAACTGAAAACACTGCCACTTCTCTTCCCAAAAATAATCACATTTTCACACTGGAGAGGGGAAGCCATTCTTCTCCTACCTCCAGGCTAGACTATGACAATGTACCCTACATGAGATACCTTTTAACAACAGTCTAGAAATTTCTCCGGGACAAAATAATGGCACTCAGACTTTGCTGGGCATTCACAGGTGCAAAAGGACAGTTTGCTTACCATAACTAGTTTTTCACGTGGTCATCTGTGAATTTGCACACGTCAATACTTCTGTGCATGTGCAGAAACTCTTAGGAATATTTTAGATCTTTACTCTACCCCTCAGCTAATATAGTGCTCCACCCAACAGTTTCTCCTCAGTTCCCTCTATCCAACACCACAGCATAAATGGAAGTAGCGTAACAGACAGAGGAGTGGTTGGGTCGGTTGTGTGAATTTACAGATGACCACTCAAAGCTTTGATATGAGATTTTCATTGTGAATGTAGAGCAAAATCCTGTTGTACAGTAAGAACTTAAGAGTACCATTCTAGAATGGGCACAAGCCCGTTTGTGCCGGTTTGTAAAGGCAGCAGCACAGGTGCTGTTGCTGCTCCCTTTCCCAGCCTCCTCTGGCTCAAACAGCCACTCATCAGGCCCAGTGTGATAGCTTCCTGCACCTCCTCAACTGATCTTCCAGTCTCAGCAACAACTCAGGCTTCTTTGTCCCACCATCTTGGCTGACCTCCCACTCAGAGGGGAGTGGGGCAGAGAAGTCTGTGCTCTTGCTTGTGAAGATTAGCAGAGGAGGTGGAAAAAAAACAAGCACACAGGGCCTGGTGAGTGGCTGTTTGAGCCATAGGAGGCTGGGAAGGGGAGCAGCAGTACCTGTGCTGCCGCTTCTACGAACTGAGATGAACTGCGACAAACTGGATTCTGCCCATCTCTACACAATTCTAATTCCAGAGTTAGTTTGCTTGAGATGTTTAGAAGAAAAAAGATATGCTCCGTCCTGCTCAGGAACTAATTTCCTCTTGCTGGTGGAAGATTCTGTTGGTGAACAATTCTGGAACGGCATTTTTTAGAGGCAGGGCATAAGTGGATTGGAATAAAGAGGCCCTGAAGCCCCACCATTTCCAATGGCCTGATCCTTCAGCCCCTATTTTAACCCAGCCTGTCATAATGAAGAAGAGAAGGGGGGAAAATCCATGTCTTCTTTCCAGGCCAGCAGAAATGGGGAAAGCTTGGAATGCAGCAGTTAATCTGGAGTTCTGAATCTCTCTGATCTCACTTTGGATTTCTCTACCCATGGCAGTCATAACTGCAACTGGCCAACTTGATCTGGATCCCAGTGGAAAAACAACAAGCTGTTTTCAAGTTTTATGGGAATGTTCTACTTAACAATAACAAAACAAATTGGAGAGATGAGAATGTATAGAGTAGCAAGCAGCTAAAGCAAGAGTAATTTAATTGTACTTTATTCACTTGAAACTTGGGAATTTATTATATTTGTTGGTATGTAATATGCATCCTTTAAACTTCCAACAGCTGACCTTCCTATGAGGGAGGGTGAGAGTAGGAAAAAAAAAACAGATACTTGGATGACCAGCATCATGGCTGGTACTAGGCTTGTCAGGTCCCCCAATAGCCATCACCAGTAAAAGCAACTCCCTCATGTGGCAGTGACTCCCATTGGTATACAAATACGGCGATACACATATTGGTTCACTTCCTCCCTTACAAATACCTAATTTTTAGATGTGCAGTGATTGACATAGTCTTTATTTTATTTGTTTAGACTTCTTTAAGCCAAGTATGAAAATCTTAAAACAGTCAAGCTACGTCCTTCTGACCAAGTTAAATGTAGATGACTTATCTTTAGCCTTATGTTCATGATGTTTTGTTCCAAAGAATTTAAACCAAGAAATTATACGCTGCATGCCAACAGGTGTTCTGGCATTGTACTGTATTTAGTTGTTCCAACAGCACAGAAGATAAATATGATGAAATACTTCCATCTGTTCCTTATTCCCACTTATAAAGTAGCACATGCTCATGACATTAAAGTAGCTAAATTAAAACAAAAAGAACTCAGAAGAATGAGCAAAGAGGGAGTTAGTGAGTTAGTGGTCTGATGGAGCAGACATGAAAACAAGCTACTGTTGAACATGATTTTTGTTCAGAGACATCAAGGTGATTTGGACATCCAAATCTCCTGCTGTAAGGATCCAGACACAAAAGTGTTTTCTATATATAGCAGCCTGTCTAAGCACTATAAGGTCTCAAGATTGTTCACAATGATGATCTTCTCCATCATTCTTCTAGTGATGCCATCCCTGTTCCCCTTGACTCAGGTACTGAACAATTAGTAAACAGGGCACTACAAGTAAAATTCAAGCACAATTCAATTACCTTGTTAGGACACTGCTGGTTTAGATAAGTCAACCCGAAATGTTTTCAAATTTGAATCTATCATAGAAACTATTTTTTTCTCAAATAGTTGAACAAATTCACTTACAGTACAAAGTAAATTTAGCACGGCAGGAATACATATACATGCCTTTTACAAGAAGAGAGAGACCCCACATGAAAATTTCACATATGCTTTGCATTCAAGGCTAGGCTGTAAATATTTCTAGTATTATAATATTATGAACTTATGAGACAATTCTTTCATTAGACTATTAGAAAAACACAGAGACTATGCAGTATGTGACAAATATCCAGCTGCTCTTCTAAATATAACATAAACTTTTTTGCAGGAGTAGAAATCAAGATTTCTAAACTAGTTTCAGACCTTTCTTTATTTGGAGGTGTGAAAATAAGCTAATATTCAGTTTCGTCTTTCATAATGGGAAATAAAAATTCTTACTTATTCACAAATCCTGGTCCCTGCAATTTCAATTGTTTGTCAGTGATGGTAGGAAACTAATTGGAAAAGTAGGGAAAAGGTCTGGGACAACATATCTCAAAGCAAACACTCCCTTCCCTTTCTTGTTGAGGCTAGGTCAAATTGAGGAGAAAATTTAGTAGAAATTTGTGTTTTTGAGCAGGAAACACTAGAGAACAGCTCTTTGTCTATTGCTATGTGGTCATGCATTTGGCAAAGGAGGAAAAGAGGAGGGCTGATGTCTTCCACTTTTCTGAAAACGCACTGTTTACCTGGAAAATGTTATAAACATTTAATATTAAATGTGTATTTTAAAAAGGGTCTTGTCTATATTTTAGCTTTCAGAAGTATCAAATTAGAAGTTGGAAAAATAAAAGCGATTTTCACATCCCAATTCCAATTTTAAATCCAACACTCCCTTGCAATACTGTGCTTATGTACCCAGAAAGGAAAAAAATGTGCCAAAAACGTTAAAGGGCAAAGGCCAATCTGAATGTTGTGGACACTAACATAAACAGTCAAGATAATCTATTGAATCCCCTCTTGAGCTCACTACTATACAGAAAAAGACACTAATTTAATATAACTTTGTGCTGTCAAATCAATTCTGTCTTATGGTGACCCTTTTCAGGGTTGTCTAGGTGGAAAGTATTCAGACTTTTTTTTCATTGTGTTCTTCTAAGGGTACCCTAAGAACATGCAGCTTGCCCAAGGCCACACAGACTGATTCTTCTGGGATGCCCAGTGGGGAAATGAATTCCCAACCTCTGCCTCCACAGCCAGAAACTGAAGTCACTGAGATAACCAAGGGAAAATACCAGAACCTGATTTTTTTTTAAACAGTGTTCACCCAAATGCAATGAAAATGTCAGGACTGTTTTTCAACTACTCTAGATATTTATTGTTCAGGACACTTACAGAATGCTATATTGACTCTTCAAACAATATCAGAAGTATATTCCTGTGCACCTCTAAATATGGATCACTATGACTTAATTCCTTTATGCCAAATGGAAATAATACCTTAAGGCAAAGGTTCCCCTTGACATTTAGTCCAGTCATGTCCGACTCTAGGGGGCGGTGCTCATCCCTGTTTCCAAGCTGCAGAGCCAGTGTTTGTCCAAAGACAGTTTCCGTGGTCATGTGGCCAGCCCGACTAGACACAGAACACTGTTACCTTCCCACCGTGGTGGTAGCTATTTCTCTACTCGCATTTTTACATTCTTTCGAACTGCTAGGTTGGCAGGAGCTGGGACAAGTGACAGGAGCTCACTCCGTCACGTGGATTCGATCTTATGACTGCTGATCTTCCAACCTTGCAGCACAGAGGATTCTGCGGTTTAACCCACAGCACCACCACATCCCTATAATACCTTATCAAGTTGTTAAAGGTTCCTGAGATATTCAGGCAACATTAACAATAAAGAATATATACTGAAGGGGAAAATGCAACTTAATTATGCTGTTGCATTGATTAAAAACAACAGATTATGATATTATGGATGATTAACAACACAACTCATTCTTACTAAGGGACAAGCAGTAAATCTTATTAACACGTAAGTAATAAATGAAGACATATGGCTGAAGTGTGAGTCAACTCAGCAGGACTTTGCTTAGACAAGAGAGTTTTTTTAGCTCCTCCTCTCTTTAAACTCCCCTGCCCACCCACATTCCAAAAAGACACTCCTGAAGGTTGATGGACTGCTGGATAGGAACAGTCACCGGTGACTAGACAAGGATACAAGGAACTCAGTGGACTTGAGCAAGTGGAAGCAATTTGGTGCTTTTAAAAGGCATCTCTGGATCCATGCAACATTGCTGTAATAGCTAACATAGTCTGTTCTTCAGCAGCGGAAACAACATTCTGGAAATATATGTATTTTCCCTCCAGGGATGTGAAACTTGGTTTTCCCCATCCTTGCACAGCCAACTAAGAATATTATTTCCCTATACAGAAATAACCACTGGGGTGTGGGTAGGTGTGCGTGCAGACAAATGTATACAGCAGTGTAATTATAATAACGAAGCAAGATGAGTTTTTCTTTCTATCACTACTAAATGGATCAGGTAGCTATCGTAGGGTTTGCTGTGGCAGTCACTGGGTGTCAAACTGACATCTGGGAGGAGATTAGTATTTTAATAAGACATGGACTTTGATTCTGTTATAGACTTTACTTACACGTGCTAATTGCCAGTGTTATTCAAATATGTAGAAGACTTAAATTTAACTCTCACCTGCCTTCATCTTCATCTTTGATAGAGCTAGGAAGATTTCTGCCACATTCTTCAAATTCATCCCAGAAAGCACTATCATCTACTTTCTTCTTGTCTCGAAGAGTTAGATTCTGTTTCCATATATCATTTTGTATTTTTTTCTGTGTTCCCTCATAGTCTCTTGGGTCAAAAAACATACTAGAATTCTTTTTTTCTTTGCTGTGTTTCAAGACACATTCTGCACCGTTTTGCTGGACATCCACATTCTCACTCCACCTTCTAGCACTGGCTCTTTCTTCCTCTTCATTGGTAAGAGACTGCTTCCTATCCAACTGGCTCATGGGATTTTGCTTTCTAACTTTGGGTCTTACCACCAGTTCAGATGAATTCTCTTGGTCCCCCTTTGTAATGGTAGCACTCAGTGCATTACGAACTTGTGTCCGAACCGTAGGATCAACTCTATTTTTTTCCTGTTCCTTGTCACAACTGGTACTAAAATTATTTTCTAGTAAAGATTCTTCTTCTCCAGATGGTTTCAGAAGAGTTGTATTTTGGTAAGCAATATCTGATTCTATGCTAGAATGTCTCCTGAAAGGCACTCGTCTTACATCTTCAAAACTTCTGCTCAAAACACTATGATTGAAATTGGACAGATGTGACTGCAAATCACTGAGGGAGTCTACGCCTTTCTCCAACTCAGAAAGCATACTATCCAGTGTCTCCTGAAATATCCCCGCTTCTTCTTTAGCTAATGAAATACTATTTTGGTCACCCTCTTCCTCTCCATCACTGCTGTCTGGCTCGTAAGAGTCAATGTTTACAAAAGCAATTCCATTCTGGTCATTAAGGCTGTTGTGCTCTCCAGAATACTCTGCACAGCCATTAGAATTTACGCTATTACCCGCAGTTTGACTATCTCCCAAATAGTAGCATGTTGAAGAAAAAGTAGAAGTATCTGTGTTGATTGCATGGCTCACTTCCGTTGGATTAAAAGGGTCTTCTGATCCCACATTCTTAAACAATGGTACATCCGCCAAAGCAGAACATACTTGGGGAAGAGGACTGGAACCTTCATATAAAAATATAAAGAAAGCATACATGTTGGAATGATCAGATGAATTATAAAGTTATTTATCAACACATACACATGGTAAAACTGGCATTTCCTGATGTTCAACCGATCTGTGGCTATATATCATTAAAATATTTCCAATATTTTCACAGCACACACACACAACATTCTGATGAACATTTTGTGAATGTTCATGAACAGAGATGAAATGAATTATTTAAACAATACTGAAACAGTGTTCCAATAATAAGTGAATTCCAAGAAGCACTTCTTTCTATGGCAGAACAAATGTTTTATGAATGCCCATGACCAGAACTGAAATGAATAAATTAGGCAGGACAGAAATAATATTTAGCGGAACTGTATGTCAGTACTATAGAAATTTTAAACAATTACTTTCTAGGACAGAAGCATCTTGTAGTTTATAGGAGGGGTCCTACTGTACTTTAGATTTCAAAACACTACGGAGATGTAATTGCTGATGCAGCATGTATGAAACACTCAGGTATTAATACAGAAAACTTGATCAGACTGCAGGATTATTACATAATACCTCTGAATCACCATGCAGTATAAATATCCCTGCACTAGAAATCTTTTTTACCACCTAGATAGTGGTGGGTAGAATGTGGTCCACAAGTCTTATTGAGACCCCACAAAAGCAAAAAAGCAAAGTGTGCTGCTTACACACCACCCCTACAGTGCTTAACACACTCTCTGGGTGGTTTAGAATATAATTGTACAGGCTACACGCTGCCCCCCACAACCGAGCTGGGTACTCAATTTACCAACCTCAGAAGGATGGAAGGCTGAGTCAACCTTGAGCTGGCTGGGATCTAATGCAGGTTGCAAGCAGAGTTTTTGACCACAGTATTGCAGTTTAACCACTGCGCTACTGCAGCTCTCCCAAAGGTCTCTAAAATGGAGAGTTGTCTGCCCAGAAAGCTCAAGGGGGCTGTGATTGTCCGTAGAAAGACTAACCCTTCTTCCTTAGACCTTCTTAATACTTTTTTTTCCTTTCGAAAAACCGAAGCAATTGTCCAGTGACCTTTGATTTTGAAAAAGAGCAAATCCAGCCTTCAGAGGTCTGGGAATGGTGGGCAGTATTTCTGATTTAATTCCTCTTAGCACTCTGAAAAGATGAATTCAATATTTTTCATGAGTAGCATCTATTATTAAACAAAATCAAATAAAATTAATCATACATATTTTATGATAAAATAGCGTTAATTAACTGATACTTCACTTACTGGTTCCATTCAGCTTTGGAATTCCATTCCTTTGCCTCTTTCTATCAAATTCTCTTTTACTTTCAGAAAGAATTATGGGAAGGTGATGGGAGGAAGGGATTCTGCTGCCTTTAATATGCCTTGATGGCACTGTTATACTTTGCTTCTGCTGGCTATTATTTTAGTGTTACAGGTTTTTAAAATGATTTTATTGTGATTTATATTTTACATGTTATGGGCCACCCATAACAAGATCTGTTTAACAGGATGTAACTTTATTACATGAACATTTGGCATTCTTTACTATACTGCCAATACGAAAGTGTTACTGATGGACTTTTTAGAATAATAAGATTTTTACATTTATTTGGTTATACATTTCTTAAAATATTTTAAATTAACTAAAGTTTAAGGGGGAAATATACAGGAATATTGACACATACTCAACTAGAAAGAACAAACGGCATAATGGTAATGAGTCTGAAAGATGACTGAGCCATGACAACTGGACAGAACAAATACAAAGATGGAAAGAACAATTAGCAATTAACACATGGTTAACACTACAAAACAGGGTAGATAACTGCCTTAAAGACTATGAAAAAATGAAACCTATTTATTTCCATGCATGTATAACAAAACAAAAATTCCACTACTGACCTGGTTCTATGGACCCCACCACCACCCATGCCCTTATTAAGAGTGAATTATGAAAAGTTTAGGATAAACCTTTGAGCACAGCCAAATAATTTTATTCTCCTATTGAACTAAATCATACTAGTGCATTCTTATTATTTCAAATGCTTTCCCAAATAAAAAAAATTAATTTCAGTTTGCAGTAATAAGTCACGCACACAAAGAATTTTCTTTTTGAACATCATCCAGTTCTAATCCTTCACAGTCTGCATCATGTTGGTTTGAATTTCTCTCTTGATTAGTCAGAGATGGTCTAAAATTGACATAGGCATGCCTTCTTCCATATCTTCTGCCTGTAATAGTTTGATGCCCTCCTGCCGGCTTTGGCCATGTGGGCTTTCCAGCTTCCTGCCCCATTGCTGAAAGAGAAATAGATCAGTCTAAACACATTAGAAAAGAAAAAAAATATTTAAAATTTTGGTTTTTAAAATGCTAAGGTGCTGGAAGGTATAAATTATGTTTATGTAAATAAATAAAACAATGGTGCTTATAATGCCAACAATACCAATATAGACATCTACATACAGTATATACTATGCTTTTCAAAGTACTAAATAAACAAAGAAACAAGCATGCCCAGCTACAATTACTTCCATTTATATCCATAAATATGTTTCTAAAATACTTGTAAGTAAATTTTTTTAAAGATAAAAATCTCTATGTAGGATTGTTGCATCTTAATGAGGAATTACTATGACCTGGTTTCTAACTGGATTTCAGTGAAATATTCGTGGATGGGAAGTATTCAGTGCAACTGTTTTTCCAGTGCAGCACTAAATAAAAAGGTAAAAAGGGGAGGAGAAACCACCCAGAGTAGACTTTAGGTCTAGATGGGCAGGGTAGAAGTCCCCTCCAAAAAAGATACCACCTAGCATATTTCCCCCTCTAATATTTGTGCCACTACTAAAACACTGAACGTACCCACAGTGCTCTCAAGACATTTCACACTTAATATCAGTCGGGGAATTCATCCATCCCAGCATTATCCCATTCTCCCTGTCCCACTTCCAGTCTTCGTATCTTTTTCCAGAGGGCAGCTTGGGGCAAGCTAAGAAACCAGGCTACAGGACATCCTGACAGGGAATGAGGGAGAGCAGAAGGAATTGTGTGGTTTTTTAAAGGTTGTGTGTATGAATGCATGCACGTGTGAATGTTCCTGAAAGAAGCTGGAGGGAAGTAGTCCTGAAAGGAAAAGAAATCAATGATTAGAGCAAGTGAATCTTAGAAACTAGGAGTGTAAAATGATTGTAAGAGACAGAAAAAGCTCTACTGATTCAAAAAGAATCAGTCTAAGACCCACCATTGCCTTGCACAAGTCACTTCTCTTTCACCACTCTCAATCTATCTTTCTGTAAAAACTGTGTTTGGCAACTCTTTATATCCACTACAGACAACGTTGTGGAAAAAGATACCCATCAAAATTCCAAATGGTCCCTGAAGTTGAGAGTCCCTGGTTTAAAATCTGATCCTTTACAAATTACTGTAGCATTATCTTTGTGGAGCTGGCATGCTATTCAAAATGAATCAATGGTCCTGACTCTAAAACACCATCAATTAACTATACCAGGTAAAACATAGTTGAAGTAAATAGGCAAGAACAAGCTGCAGTACATTCAACCAAGAGCAGACACTACAAAGCTTTTGTTTCTATGCTTATGTACGTGAAAAGTCATGTGAAAATGAAAGTACACCCTCTTTGAATGCTATGGTTTTACATATCAGGATATAATAAAAATCATCTGGTCCTTAGCAGATCTCAAATCTACAACCTCAGATGAACAACAATACATGACATATTACACCGTGTCATGATTTATTTTACAAAAACAAAGCCAAAATGGAGAAGTCATGTGTGAAAAACTAAGTACCAGATGATTTTTTGTCCTGATTTGTAAAACAATAGAATCCAAAGCGTGCAATTTCTTTTTCACATGAGATGGATGGATGGATGATTTTATACTCAATGATTCTCCCAAATCTGTGACTATAGACAGATCACAAGAGTGACTAAAATGGATAAACAAAAACAATAAGTTATAATTTTAAGAAAATTTAGGGAAATTATTATTAAAACACAATGGAATTACAAAATAAATTTAAAATTATCAATTTAAAAGAGTGTATCAGCTTCCCATTAAAAACTTCTAAAGCAAGATGTGAGCCAAGGCAAGCTAAGAAACCCTCGTGGGGGAGAGCATTGCCATTTAGACAAGCTTGGCCCAAGTTTTGTACAGCTGTATAAGTCCTAAGCAATACTCTGAATTGTGGCCAGAAACAGATCAGCAGCCAATGAAGTTATCATTACAAAGGAGCTATGTGCTCTCTGTAACTGGCCCTGGCCAACAGTCTGGCTGCCAATCAAGCTCCCCTCTCACCTTATGCTCCCTTATGGGCAACATGATTACAAATTGCTACACTCTCTGCATCTAAGCAACAGAGACAAACAAGGAGGAACAATCCAAAGGAGGACTCCACAGCCAAGTGTTGCAAACTAGGCAAGCAACATTCACAATCATGTTCACATTCATATAACAAAGAGGCAAAGATGTTGCCTCTTTGTTATATGACAACAGGGGACTGAAGAACTGCAGGACCAAGTTACATAAACTTAATATTGCAAGCGACATTTTATAAAATTCTGTAGTGCCCTATATCCTAGTCCGCATGCATCTTTCCTATGTTCCTTCCACAAGGGAGGGGTGCATCAAAACAGATTATTAACCTTCACTCTCTCTTACCAAGAGGAGGCAGGCAGTCTTATGAATATCTTATCAGCTAAGACTGGACATGATAACTGGGATGCTTATTTGCACGAAAAGCCAATGAATCCAATATTCTGTTTATAAGGGACACTGGCCTGATGTCACCGAAAGCTGACAAACAGGGCTTTCACTATCCTATTTCAGTCCCAGGTATTGAAAGTATAGTAGATTTAAAGACCTCAATGAGCTATTGTTGTTAATAGCTGGTGAAAACATTATCCTTTATGAATTCATTTAAATCAGAGGCAGGTAATCTGGTACCCTCTAGATATTTCAGACCAATCCCCATAATCCCCATGCAGCATGACTAATAATCAGGGATTACAGTGGTTACAAGTCAACCCAAAGCCTCAGGAGTATAGCAGGTTGCACATTTCTAACCTAAAAATTTTAAGCTAGTTACCCTTATCATAAAGCAGTGGATGCCACAAATTAAAGCTGCATAGCAGAAAATAAAAGGTCTGTTTTTGGACTGCAAAATATATATTTGTTGGACTGTGTACAACACATTTGCTTTACATGTTTATATTTTTATTTGTTAAGTCCCCAAAATGCAATTACTATTTTTCAAAAATCTTAAAATTTGATCCTGCCTGCAGCTTTATGGTCTTCTGTGCATTCTTACAGTGTTCTGGTTCTAATGTGGGGCTGTTTTTCCTTTTGCTTTTATCTATATCCACTAGACTATGCTGTGCGAAGAGTTTTCCCTTGTGATCGGTATGCAAGATCTACCATCTGTCACTCTCAGTCTTGGAACAGCTGCTTAAAAAGAAAGGAAGAGGAACAAACATTCAGGAGGAAAGTAGTAGTCATACAAAGTTTACCTCGACTCGGGTCCGTTGCCTGGCCAGTAAAATTTCTGTAAATATTCTGGCAATGTGCATCTTTAATTAAAGCATGAACAGAAAAAAAAAGTGTTCCACCTCATATGTTAGCCTTTACAGGCAGTATTATCATTTGAACTTTTGCAGCCATGGTATAAGAGAATATAAAGTCGGACTAAATGTGTGGATAATCAGTGTAGTGTAGTGACGGGCTGGGACTCAGGAGACATGGGTTCAAATCTACAATGAGCCATGGAAACTCACTAGGGGCGTGAAAATTGTTAAAAAAACACTCCTTAAACATCTCACTTACATTTAAAGCCCTATTATGGTTGCTATTAAGTCAGTTCCAACTTGAGGGCACATAACAAAACTTTAATCTTTTGGCTAGCTTTGCTACTGCATTAAAAAAAAGATTGGCAAATAACCCAAAACAGGAATGAATGTAGGCTCACACCTGGAAGAAAAACTGACTAACTGCCAGGCAGCATAAAGGGGAGAATCTTAACAAATTATATACCAAGGCACAGCTGAGAGCTTGTTTGTCAAACAAATGTTCCTTCAAACTATGCACATTTGAAGAGCAAGCTCTCTGCCTTGGTATACTTCCACATTTAGTCTGTGCTTAAACATCCCATGTTTCATTATTATTTGGTTTTGCTACAAAGCATTATTTTTCTTCACTTATTCAATGGCCAAAATCCTGTTGTTTAGTGTAGTAAAAACTGCACTAAAGTAAGCCCATTGAATCAGAGGAGATTTAATGAGTCAACTCCTCTCTAAGTTCCAATGACCCAAATAGACCTACTCTAAATATATGTTGCCTCAACAAATTATAATGAGAGCAGGCCTATTTGAATCAATGCAACTTACGAAGGTGATGACTCAGTAAATCTCCCCCGACTCAATGGGCCTACTTTACTGCAATTTAATAGACCAAGTAACAGGATTTTGGTCAATGTATTGTAATAATTTATCCTATTTCAGATCCAGCGGAATATTTAAGTACATTTGTTTTGCCTTGAATTGAGATGTAGTCCCATACTCTGCATAGGCAATACACATGCGCACACACACAGATACACACACCAGATGCAGATCTGACTGAATTCAGTTGGCCTTACTCCTTGGAAAGTGTGCGACCTGAAGTCCTACTGACTGTATTCAATTCCATGTGTCTTGTTCAGTATGTCTTCTGCACTACCATACAGTAATTTGATTATTCATAAAAAACCATACCATGCTGCTTTACTGGTTAGCACTTGAAACCTTGTATTATACTTTGTCAGGGATGTGTGTTAGATCTAAAACAGAAGTACATAATTGAAAAAAGAAACCTGGATCTACTCCTATGTCTCAAATGAACAATAGGAAATGTTTGGCCTATAAATGGTCCAGGTTTCATAGCAATAAGCACCAAGGATATACTGAAGGCTTACATATCCCATAGTCCTACCGTGTTGGTGCTATCCCCAGAATTCTGGTTTGCTTGTCATTATGTTCAGTTTTCATTAATTAAAGTTTGTCTCTGAGTGAGAAAAAGAAACAAGTTTGAAATGATTTCTGGACCGAAGACAAACTTTTGTTAGTGAAAAATGTATCATGTTCAGGGTGATTACTGTGGTAGGTATGATTACAGGTACATCTAGACGTAAGAGAACAAACTGGTTTGATCGGATCAAGGTACATATGTGACAGGAGGGCATTCCCAGTGACTATTGGCTTTGACACATGAACTGGGCTTTATTTAGGGATGCCAATTAGTAAAAGCATTTAAATGTATGAGCAGCTCTTCCCAATCTAAGCAACAGTCTATTTATATCAGAATACCTACTACAGTTCAGCAGGGTCTCGTTAGAAAAGATTTTACTTTGATCCATATTCTCCAAGCAGTTTTCTTCCTGACATCTCCTCAATCCAGCTGATCTATCACTTTATTTGTCCATACAACCTGTGTGATGCCAATCACATAATTTTAATTAGAATCTTCTAATAAACGTTTGTCCGTATTTCAGCTTAGTTAAGAAAACGGCACACATTCAATCACTAGGTTTGCTCATTTCTTTCTTGAGTAGGTAGAGACTTCCTAAGTGACTTAAAGAAGGCATTTCCATGACATTTTGTTATTCACATTTTTTAATCCATTTTGATTTCCTACAAACAACCTTTTTTGCCTGTGATTTTAAAATTATTTGCTTTGCCTGTATCATTTTAGGTGATTCCAGAAAGCAAATCATGAGTTACAAATGGTGAAAAGAGAAATTTTACTTTTAAAGAAACCTATTGTAAGCAATCAAAATAGCATTGCCCCAAATCACTTCCAGTTTCAAAACATTTTACCTGAAGCTTTTTCTATTCTGCTTTGGATCACATGCACCTCAATACGAAGAGTAATTTAAAACCCATTCAGGCATTCATATTATCATTCAAGCAATATAAAGAAATAAAGGATCACATTCTGGAGAAATTCAAAACTTAACAGCAATGCTAAAGTTCAGGCCAACAAACATTATTTTCTCCTGGGTACAAAAATACACTGTAAAATCTTTATTTTCCTTGATCTATCTTTCCTAGAACACCTAGAATAAAGCAGTTATTATCTGTAAAAATAGCTTTGCCTATCCACTAGACTCAACCAGCTGAAGCTCTGCAGATGTGTTCTGCCATACTTCCTTACCCTGGGGATGACAGGAGTTACAGCCCAACAAAATCTGCAAGACACCAATTTGGAAAATTTTCTACGCACATTTCTTGATAAAGAGGGTCATAGGGGTTTCATTCTGGAGAACTGCACATACACAACAGTTGTTACATGCTGTCAAGTGATCTCCAACATATGGCAGCCTTATGAATGACCAATCCCAAAACATCCTATCCTCAATACCCCTGCTCAGCTTGTATAAAGTAAAGACAATGGCTTCCTTTTGGGATTCAGTTTATCTCATATTTGGTCTTCCTCTTTTGTTGCTGCCTTCAAGCATTTCCCAGCATTATTTTCTTTACTAGTAAGTCTTGCTTTCTCATGATGTGCCCAAAATAGGACAGCCTCAGTTTCATCCTTTTTGTCCCCAAAGACAGTTCAGGCTTGATTTGCTCTAGGACTCACTTTGTCGTTGCAGTCCAGGGTATCTGCAAAACTCTCCTCTAGCACCATTATGTCAAACAAATCATTTTTTCCTGTCAGCCTTCTTTACTGTCCAGTTTTCATACCCATACATAATGATGAATCTCCATTTGGATTGATTATAGATAGATAGATAGATAGATAGATAGATAGATAGATAGATAGATAGATAGATAGATAGATAGATAGATAGACAGACAGACAGACAGACAGACAGACAGACAGACAGACAGACAGACAGACAGACAGACAGACAGACAGACAGACAGACAGACAGACAGACAGACAGACAGACAGACAGACAGACAGACAGACAGACAGACAGACAGACAGACAGACAGACAGACAGACAGACAGACAGACAGACAGACAGACAGACAGACAGACAGACAGACAGACAGACAGACAGACAGACAGACAGACAGACTCTTTGTCTTCTTAACATTCAGCTACAATCCTGCTTTGTCGTTTTCTTCTTTCACTTTCCCTAAAAGCTGTTCCAAGTCATTGCTGGTTTCTGCCAGCAAAATGGTGTTATCTGTATATATTAAATTACTGATGTTTCTTCTTCCACCAATTTTCACTCTTCTTTCATCTGAATCTAGTTTGACTTTCTATATGATACGATTTGCATACAGATTGAACAGGTAAGGGGATGAAATGCACCCTTGTCCGATTTGCTTACAGATTGAACAGGTAAGGGGATGAAATGCACCCTTGTCAGCTGTTCAGTTGCTTGAAACATGTATTTGCAATAAACAGAATGAATGCAGTCCCAGGTCCTCTGTCTTTGATAGTAATTGTATATCCATCAACAATGGTCCGGCTGGTAAATATCACAGGCTACATAGCGCATATAACGCTTTTTGCTGGCTCTAAAATGGATACTTCAGGGAAGTGAAATACTAAGAGGCCATTGCTATTACATCCCAGCTACAAAGATCAGAAATTTTGCCACTTGTACAGCATATGTCAAAGCAATGGTTTGGCTGGTAAATATCACAGGCTACATAGTGCATATAATGCTTTCTGCTGGCTCTAAAATGGATACTTCATGGAAGTGAAATACAGTGGTGCCTCACACAACTCAGAAATTTTGCCACTTGTACAGCATATGTCAAATTTTCTTGTGTAATGGTCACTTTATTTATCTATATGCATATTTCATATAGTGTTCTGGAAAATCTACGTTTGCTTCAAAATGAAGGAACTGTGTTGCTAATGGCACCACAGTCATTTTGTATATAAAATTCTGTAGATTCTAGTTCCTTGAGAGCTAATAGTTTTTCAGTGTTCCGGGCAACCGCTAAGCACATTACACTTACATTCTCCAAGTGAATGATCAGGAATCAACGAACTATACATTCTTTGTTTCTTGGATTTATTTATGTTTCCCTGGAGGGCACAGGATACAGTGGACCCTCTACTTAGGGAATTAATCCATATTGGAATGGTGGCTGCAGGTCGAAAAGTCTGTAGGTCAAGTCTCCATTGACCTACAATGCACTGAAAACCGATTAATCCCGTAACCGGCCGTTTTTGTTCCATTTTTGTTCCATTTTGGTTTTTTTTCTGGTCTGTAAGTCGATTCTCTGGCTGCAACTCGAACCTAAATTTTGCGGCCAGAGAAGTCTGTAACTCGAAAAGTCTGTAAGTCGAGGGTCCACTGTACATAGAGCTAATTTGTAATTTGGCCTTCCCATCCAGATCCCTTAGACCAACAGTTCTTAGTGTGACGATCGCCCCACGTCACTCATACTATTCATAGTCATGAGCTAATTTGCATGAGCCTATGAGAGGACTGGTGAGGCGGAGTCAGCAGATATATGAAGGCTTGGCAGGAGAAGGAGGAGTCAGAGAGAGACAGAGATACAGCTAGAGATTGGGGTGAGATCTAGATAGAGTTAGGGCAGGTTAGTCAGAGAGAGAGAACAGATACTATGAGATAAAGCTGGTTAAGAAAATAGCTAAAGAGGGTGGCAATGATACTACAAGAGAAAAGTGTGTACTGAGAGAACTGTTAATGATTTGCTTGTGTACAATGTTTATCTGAAGAACTGTTATTAAATCTGATTCACTTCAATAAATAAGTTCAGTTTGTATTCACAAGACAAGTGTTCTGACAAACATCATTTATATTGAGGTAATCCACTGGTGGCAGCGAGAGGAAAATGCGACGGGAGCCTTTGTGAGGGCAAAACACGCAGGTGCTACAAGGGTGAACGCCACAGTAAGCAAACAGGTGTATATTTCGGACCATCTGGATACAAACAAGCTTTTAGGCCACTAGTATTCAAATAAGACATCACACAAGCAGCAGTTTGGGCCCTGGTTGGCCCATCTTAAAACTGAGAACACAGTTTGACAAGGTAATCCTAGGAGGATCACTTTGGTTAGACATTTCAATGGTCAGTCATAGTGCTGATCATGGCATTTTGGCAAGATTGTTTTAAGAAAAATGCCTTCCTGGCAAGGAGGTTCCAAATGATTGGTAATTGATGAAAAGTTCCCTAGACCCAGCATTTACTTGGTCAGCTCAGAACATCTTGGATGTTATCATGCACAATGATAGAAAGAGTTTGATGCACTCATGTTTCAGAATGGCATCCTTCAGTCTCAAATTACTACGGCATTTGACTCCTCAGTTTACTAGGGCATTTAAGACAGCATTCATGTAGTGCCAAACAACAATTGTGTGTCATGTACAAAATTAGACCCAGCATTTACTTGGTCAGCTCAGAACATCTTGGATGTTATCATGCACAATGATAGAAAGAGTTTGATGCACTCATGTTTCAGAATGGCATCCTTCAGTCTCAAATTACTACGGCATTTGACTCCTCAGTTTACTAGGGCATTTAAGACAGCATTCATGTAGTGCCAAACAACAATTGTGTGTCATGTACAAAATTTTTGATGAACTTTGTAGTCTACCATTATTCCTCATAACCAGATGAGCCTTGGCTTTCTTGATCTTCTCTGTGTTATTGGCAATGTTATCAACATCACCCCTATGGAGGAGTATACTATAGGTTTTGTTGTTGTTACATGCTGTCAATTCAGAACTGACTTATAGTGACCCTAACAGGGCTTTCAAGGTACTGTAAGTGAGATATCTAAGCAGTGGTTTTACCAGTTCCACTCCCTCAGTGATTTTCCATGGCTGAGTGGGATTTGAAACCTGGTCTCCAGAGTCCTAGCCCATCACTCTATCCATTACACCACATTGGGTAAGCCAGTGTAGGCTTTGCCAGGTGATAAATAGATTTGAAGCTACCCCTACCACTAGTAATCCTGTTTCTGGACCTTTACCAATTCTGAATGAAAAACAAACCTGACATCTAGCAGGATTTATAATCTATGGTCAGTAGGATGACAGTAACTGACAGGCTTCTGGTTAAGCACACTTATACCCTTGGGATCTCTTGTATCCATTACAGTACTCCCTCAGGAAATCACTGTAGCAGTACATATCAGCAAACTGTGTATTTTGTTATCAAAGGAACTCTTTAATATCAAAGCTGTAAGAGACATTCTAAATGCAGTTTCTCCTATAATGCAATTAATATGAAAGTAAACAACTGCTTGAGTGCTCACTGGAAGGACAGATCCTGAAGCTGAGGCTCCAATACTTTCGCCATCTCATGAGAAGAGAATACTCCCTGGAAAAGACTCTGATGTTGGGAAAGTGTGAAGGCAAGAGGAGAAGGGGACGACAGAGGATGAGATGGTTGGACGGTGTCACCGAAGCTACCAACATGAATTTGACCAAACT